TATTTCGTTTTAGAATAAATATAGATCAAAATAACAAAATCAGTTTGCTGTTTCTCATTTCCTAATTTTAGAAAAAAATGTTTAATATTGAATAAATCATTAATTGTTAGTTTACTTATTCAATTAACTATATTGTATCAATAGTTAAATATACATATAATATTAAATAAATTGTATTTATTCAAAGTTAATAAGTATCGATATTAATTATATTATAATTTATAAAATATTAAATTGAATCGATATTCAATTTATAATAATTTAATTAATAAATTTATTATTTACATTTTTCTTTCATTAAATAATTTATTATTAATATAAAATAGATTCAATCGTTCCAATGTTTTAGTTATTTGTTAAAATAAAACGGCAAAACAAAAATAGTTACAAACTTTGACTTTTTGTCAATATTAGTTTTTCTCTCATCACTATCCAATCAAATGTATAAACAACAAAGCTTTGAAATAAATAAAAAATAATTGACATACACTATTATTAATCTTAATAATCGGGCAAATCAACCAAAACAAAACAGCAAACTATAAAAATGGGATGTTTGAAAATTGTTTTTCGCATTGATTCAACGCAAAAAGCGGGCGAACTGAAACTCTAAAAGTCGTATAAATAGAACAGTTAAAAATAGATTCTACGTATTAGTACTTTTCTACTATTTTTTACTTAAAAGCCTGTTCGTCGAAAAATGGAAAAAACCAACTACAAAATCAGTCGGAGTTCTTTGAATGACTAAAGTGGTGACAATGCGAATAAGGTTTGCCTATTTATCGTCCCTTTTTCTTCTCTGTTAATGTCATTTCTCATTTCTTAGGTTTCCCAAGACATATCCTGTCATCTACAAAACGCTTCGTGTTGACGGCGAACTTTCTGTAAAGGGGTCGATCGAGTTTATCGCAGAGGCGTTGCATATGCCACCAGACGAAGGTATTGGATTGTACCTTCCAAACGCAAAAACGTGGTTAGACGATACAGCGCCACTTGCAAATTTTCAGGAGGTCATTGGGGAGGAAGACAACGTCGAGTATAAATTCCGAAATGGTAAAGACGACGACGACGATTCATCGAATAAAAAGAAGAAGAGTGGTGGATGTGTCTTCCTTTAATTTGTTGTGATTTATTCCCTTTATTGATTCTTTAGCTTCTTTTACCTTCTTTATATTATTTCTGTTTAAGACTTTGTTTCATCGATCAGTTGTTTAAAACACTTTTAGGGTTTCCTCTATTAAATCACGTGTTTTGGTGTTGCTGTTGTGCAAGAAAAGGTGTGTTTGTATGAAATTACTTGTATTACATTGATATTAAAATTTATAGTTTAATTATAATAGTTCGGATGGCTTTGTTAATTTAGTTATTTATTAACTTTGTTTGGCTTTTTCCACTTTCCCTATCAAAAACAAAAACTTTTTGATTAGTTCTGAAATAATACATTGGTCTTTAGACTTTCCAATTACGCCGAAAAGGATAAAAAGTTATAAACTTAATAAAACACGAACATCAAAAAGTATCATAAACTTTATCATGACTTGTCTTCTTATACAATACAGAAAAAAGATCTGGTGTGTTGAAAAGTTCAACTGAGTTTACATATAAAAGAGTTTTTCGAGATGGACGAAGCATTGAATAATTAATGAAAGAGCATTAGAAAAATTATTAGTATTAATTTTTATAAAAATATTATTTATAATAACAATTTTATTATTATAAATAAAAACCATAAAACATAAAAAGCTAATAAGAATTAGTTGACCAATTTCTCAAACTGAGGAAGCAATTTTTGATACATTGCCTTATACCCTATCGCAGACGGATTTCTACTGTACCCCCAACACTCTTTGTCTTTCTCGTCGTAACACAACTGACAATCAAGTGCTACGACCTGATCCTTGTGCGTTCGATTCACACTCTCAATCGCCGTTTTCCACCCATTCTCACCCTCGCGCGCCATCACTGGTCCGATGACAACCCCTATTTTGGCTCCTTTATACAATGATATAATTTCATTCAAAAGGTCTTCGCACTTCTGTGTGAAGACTTCGTCCAATTCACTTTCGTCGTCGACAATAAAATCGTCGACAATGCTACAACATTTCGTTTCTGAAATTGTTTCGACGTTAACTTTGGTTGGAACTCCTCTAGGGAAGTTAGGTTTCACACTTTCTTGTGGCAGCTCCATTTTCTTCGACTGATTTGTCGTTGCTTTAGTTGTTGTATCTTCATTCAATGTAACAGCCCTTTCCTCTTTTGGAGTTTCAGGTGTGATTTTACTTGCACCTTCATCTTCTGCAGTCTCTGGACTTTTAACAACTTCTTTTTCATCACATGGTGGCGAATTCTCAACGCTGGGGACTTGAGCGTTGTCAGAGACAATTTTAAAACTGGGTTCTGGGACATTTTTAGTTTTCGAGCTAAGAACTCCGACGTCCCAGAAGTCGTTAGACCCAACAGCGAGTAATACGATGTCAGCAACAAATGAGTCGAATTTGAAATTTTGTTCTTTATTTCCTCCAGCATTTTGCTTCAAAAGCGTCGAGATGTTTTGCTCGTCATTTGGAAACTCAATTTCATTCTTGTTTCGAACAATTCCGACTTTCTTCAAAGCGACTGTCTGTGTTTCGATATTAAAAGTGTTTGCCAACAACGAGACAAATGATGCTGAAGAGTCGTTTTGCAGTTTTCTGCAAGCACAAGCTTTAAACGGACGTGCTCCAGTTCCACAGACCAATTCGTCTCCAACGGCAAGCATCTTAATCTTTTTTGTTGTGTTATATTGGGCACTTTTCTCAAGTTGGCAGTCAGCACCATAGAAACAAAGAGCGCCGTCGTTTGAGTCTGTTATTTTGGTAATTTTTAGAGTCATTTGCCGATTTGTAGTGTTGACGATAGAGATCTTTGCGTATGAAGGAGTAAGTGCAATTGTGTATGCCGAGATCTCTGGAGGCACTTCGAATTGTCGTTTCTGTTCGACAGTGACTTGGGCTTCAGAGGTGAATGTGAGGAGATTCAGACCTTCGCACCTGAAATATAAATTGACTTCTTTTTGTGGAGCGACAAGTTCCATCGAGAAGTTAGGCCAGTCGAAGATGACTTGTGAAGCGTTTTTCTCGTATCGCCCGGTGTAAGTGATATTATCTCTGTAGAGATATTTGGGGATAGAGAGAGATACGTACTGATCACAAACAACTTTCATATACTCTTTTTGTGTTCTTGACAGTTTTTATGGATATTTCATTCCAACAGAGACCGTTGAGATTTTTTTATATCACTCTTCCGTCTCTTTTAGATTGCATTTTGTATTGAACTTCGCAATGAGATGATTTTTTTGTGATAAGTGGACTAACGTGTGGACATAAGAACTTATTCTACCCATAGTATTTTTGGTTGTGCAAAAAATGTGAACAACATTTTAAATGCTTTCTTTGCTTTTACAAGAATACTGTATTATTCTTTATAATATTTTTTATTATCAAAAATAAAACACCATTTTGTTTTGCCTTACCATTCTTGAAATCAATTTGTGACATTCTCGGAGAAAAAGGTCCATTGAAACGGGAAGAATAGAGTGTTTTTGCTCTATTCTTCCATTTTTAATACCATTATTATTAATAATTATTCTCTTTTTTTGCCCAAGAGATCTTTTTGTTCTCAATTTTTCGCCAAACAAATTTATTCTGTCAACACAAATCTTTTTACTATATTTTTATAATGAATAAGGAAGTACTATTTTTACTATACAATCATTTCTGTCACCTATACCTCGACAATCAATACTAAATTATATTTAATAATAAATTAATCTATATTTATATTAGAAAAACGACAGTATATAAAAACATAAGCATTCTTTCTAGTATCAACAACCCAATAACATTTTCACCACTACGACCCAAAATGTTATTTGAAACCACGAACAACAAGCGCACCTAAATTACACAGTGTAAAAAAGTGACAGTCAGACGAAACAGTCTTTCGCCGAATTACCGCTATTCCCCATTCAACGTCGAAAAGTACAAACAAATCACTAAAATATAATTACCGCTTTGGTGTTGCTGCTTCGATACCAAGTTTCTTTAGCTCTCTTCTTTTACATGAGGCGCATTGACATTGGTTTCTACACACGGGGCAGCCGTCTTGAGCGAAAGTTTCGAGAGACATATACTTCAGGATACAATTCTCGCAGAATTTGTGTCTTGAGTTTTTTGTGCATTTGTAGCACTCGGACCTTCGCGTTTTGCATCTGTGGCACGAGACATTATAATCCTTTTGTAGGGTTTCCTTTTCTTGATGCTTGACTTCCTTTTTTTCGGAAAGGAGGTACTTATCTTCGGACATGATATCAATAGATGTGAATTGCTCTAATAAAGTGAAGAGTGGGGTTTGGAGTGGTGGTCCAAACTGTTTGTATTGAATAACATTGTTAGTTGCGATCAAATTGTTTTTGATCAACTGGGACTGAAGCACATCAAAAAAACTCAGAAGCGATGAGTTGGGCGATAAAAACATGTGTAACTGAGTCCGGTGGGAGTATTGAGAAGAGACTAACAATAAGATCTCGACGGATGTGTCTGATATACGCTGTACTTTCTGAACGTCAATATGATATTGCATTATTTACATTTTCTAGATGATTCCCCACTCGAAAGTAACTTTCACTTTTCAAAAACGATAATTATGGCTTTGGGCGATAAAATCGTTAGGATAATAACAAGTTAATTTGTTGGATTATTTCGGGGCTTTATTCGCCCCGAATTGTGTTGAATAAATGCGAAATGATATACAAAAAAGAATTCCGCCTAAAATAGTACAATGACTCGGGTTTCTTACATCGGGGTTTTTTCTAATTATAATGGTATTAGAATTTTACTATAATATACTTCCGGTTTTTTTATACAAACAATTGTTCTTATTAAATTTATTACTCAAAACAATAATTAACGGAAAAAAATATGGATTATTTTAATAACAGTTTCATTATTATTTAATTATAAGTTATTAATAGCGAATGTCAACTTCAAATTTAAAAAAGACCTAAACCAAAAGTTTACAATCTATATTGTCATCAAAAAACGGGAAATGAACCTATTAATTGTTTATTATCTATTAATAAGAATAATAATAGAATTGTCATTTAATAATTTGAATAAATATGGCTGTTTTGCGGGATTGCGGGGCAATAAAACCGCAAAAAACTTTTGTTTCGTGGTGATTTCGCAGAAACTTGCAAAAAAAAATAAACTAAAAATGCATATTCTTGAATAAAATATTACATGAGAAAGCGGTTTTGGTTCACTATAAGATGATTTAATGATTGGAAAAAAAAAGTTCGAATGCTTTATCTCTCCCAACCAAAAAAATACAATTGTTATATAATTTAATTTATAATTAAATAACAATATTTAATATGACTTTTGAAATCAAATTGCAATTTTTGGGAAATAGTAAGATACTGTTTGAATAAAGCAAATTCGTCATCAACTTTTTTTATGGATAGGGTATAGTTCAGACACACAGAAACAAACCATAATTTATTACAATAAGGAAATCGCAAAAAAAGTGTGTAAAAAACTGATAAAATGCCATTGCGACATTTAATAATTTGGCAAAAACATATAAAAATATTTTGGTGGTTTTGTGCGATTTTCTTTTTATTTCAATGGCTTTTTTTGTCATTATATTTTGTTATTTCACTTTCAAGTTATTATCACTGATTTTAACATTCAAGTTTATTATTAAATTTGTTTATATGGGATATATTGTCCTTTTTTGATGGTTTTCCCGTTTTGACTTATGTAATTGAATGTTAATAATAAACTTTTAAAAAACTGGTTAAATATCTAATAAACTCCAGATTTCCCGTTTTTAGACTACTTGAAATATGTTCAATGGTTTTTTGAGGTTTTACAATTGGTATTCTTTTAAATAATTAACTTTAATTGATTTTTTTAATATTCTTAAAATAAAAAAATATAGTTTGATATTAGATTCAAAAGAAAACAATATTTTGTGAAAATATTGTTTTAAATGAACTATACCAAGTAAGTATTTTTTATTGTTTTAATTATTAAAAAAAAACTAAATATAATCAAATGAGACTTGAAAAAGTTTATTTAGCAAATGTTGGATTATACCTCCCTTTTCTTGAGACATGTATTAAGTTTATAAAAGTGAGTAAGTCATGTTTTGAATCGTTTCAAGTTCTCCGTCTTGTCCCCAAGCGCAAAAAACATGAGAAAGACGACTTAAAAGATATGTCCAATTTTAGCCAAATAACAGAAATGTTATTTGACCCAGTCATTATAGACTTATGTCCAAAGGCAACGACTTTTGAACTCGAGATGAGCACGTTAATCAATTCGTCTGAATTTCTTGATCAATTGTTCTTATCAAGAAATGACACACGAATTTCACTGTCTGAGTGTTTCTTAGTAGATATGCCATTTATGGTATCTAAATTGAGTTCAAATGTATTAAACAAAATAATCAAAATCAAAGGCTCATCCATTGAGTTTGATGAACACACAGATCAATTCAAGTACAAAAGTGTAATGAAAAGTTTACCAAATTTAAGCACTGTTGACTTGGATATTTTAAATTGTGACTTCGACTTTTCGTGTTTTTTTGATGAAAGTGGAGTATACAATAAAGTGATTTTAAGACTTTCAGAGCCAGGTGCTTTCTTTGAAATGAATGTAAAAATTGCACACCATTTTATAACAATACTAAAAAGAATAAAAACTCTCATTTTTGTGATTAAAACTGCAACGACTTTTGAAATACCACTCGAAATAAAGAAAAAGGCGACTTTTGTGTATGACACTCAAATAACAGAAAAATTATCAAAGGAAATTTGTTTATCTAAAAATGGTTTAATAATCAATACATCGTTACCATTCGATTTGGAATATCTCAACAAACAATATCTCCCTTATAGACTTTTCTTTTCAAATCAAATGAATACAACAAACAAACTATTTGATATTTCAAAGGTGCCACACCTCAACGTTTTACAAATCAACAACAAACAAAAAGTGATAAACTTTGAGGTATTCAAAGAAAGTGGTAAAATGACTAATTTACTAAAAGTAATGACAACAAATTCTATTGACGTGTTGCCAACTACGGTACAATTTTTAACTACCATTTCACATGAACCAGAATTACACTGTGTCGGTAATTTTGAACTTTGTGAATTGGAGTGCAGAGGAAGAGTTTTGTCTGGTATTAATAAAATGATTACTTTGAAGAAAATCATTTTAAAAAGTGATGTGAAGGTTATTGACACGTGTGACCTTTTTAACTTTGAGTTGTTAACAAATCTTACATATTTAAAGTGTGATGAATTGAAGTCGTTTGTGTTACCAAATACATTGATTGATCTTTCAGTGCATTTGGAGAATGACGCGTTGTTGAATCAAATCAAGAAATGTATCAACCTGACCAAACTCGAACTCTCATTTGAAAAACACTTCAAAACAAACATTTCTTTGTGTGGTTTGAACAATTTGAATGTTTTAAAGATGAATAATATGGTTGTGAAATTCAACCATACAGAACAATTAATTATTGAAAATGTTCAACAACAGTTTTTGGATTTACGAGGTATTAACATTAAATGTATTGAGCTTGTGAAGTGTGAGTTTAAACAGCTTTATATTTCTAAATCAATTCACAAATTTTCATTTGACCTTTCAAACTTTGAAATACCAAATAGAGATGAAATTGCAATAACTCAAATTGTCACAGGAGAATTTGATTACAAAAAATTAGATGTATTCAGTGGGAATACTGTTACAAATATAATTATTCCGTCTTTTGACAAAACAACTTTACTCACACTTTTTCACAAGTTGGAAAAAATCAACAATTTTTCTATATGTGACACTACATTATAGTAAAGTTTATTATTTATTTATTTCTTATTATTCTTATGTTTTGACTCTTTTAAGACTATTTTTTTTTATTTGAATTTGAATTTGTAATAACATTTATTCTATTTTTAACTATATGTATGGTAATATAATTATAATATTAAATAATACATATCAAAATAAATTACAAAATAAACTACAACTGTAAATTATAATTATTTTGATTTGATAATAATATATGTATAATTTATCAATTTATATGATATTTTATGAAAAATTAATTAATTTTTCAAAAACAAGTTTCTAAACTTCTTTTCTATACAAATAAATTCATCAACTTTAATTATCGTCAACCAAATTATACGACTTTAGTTCAATGTTCGAAACAAAAGGAAACAAAACGGCATAAACACCAAAATTCAAATTTTTGAGTGTTCGATTAACAATCTAAAAATTGAAATGTGGAGGAATAGATCATTAAGCACAAGTTCGTCTCGTGGGAGAGTTGAAACAGTATTCTCCTCATTCTACAATGTGACCCTCCACAAAGAGGATGAATGCTATATTGGGTCGCTCAGTATTATATCAAACGACGGAATTGCGAAACTCAAATTTGTCCCAGACAACACTACCAACACAAAAAACGCGTTCTATTTTTTGTTCACAAGCATTTTTGTCAACAACTTGTCGCACGAACAAAATAATGATGCTAAATTTGACTTTTGGTATTCTGAACGCAACAACCCTGTCAATCTCACTTTTAATTCAATTCCCATGCGAAACCACTTTGTCGAAGGGTTGAAAATTAATGGACTTCATAAGTCGGAGGCAACAGTACCCTACACAAAAACAAAGTCAGTCGACTCCATTCAACCAATTCAAGTCGAAAACTTACCAAAGACAGACCGTGACAACAAAAATGAAAAAGCCGAGAAAAGTGATCGTTCAGAAAAAACGTTCTTCCCAAAATTATTCACCTTGGAAAGACGAAAAACCGTTTTCCTGGGTACACAGCCTGTGTCGCCGAGTACATCACCAAAGCCATCACTTTCACCTCTAAATTCACCAAAAAATATCACAAAAGTGGAAGGAGCAGACTGGTCTATTCTTTCTGACATTGATTCGTTTCAGGCTGACGAGTCTCTGATAACACCAACAACACCTATCATGTCGGTAAGAAAGAATTTGCTAATGTGTGGAGCAACAGAGTCGGTGAGGTTGTTAGCTTGGGAGCGCTGTTTTGTGAACAACTACAAAGAACTTTACATACCATCACTACTCATCGCGTCCCATTTTGATTCAATGCGGTCAGAGGACTGGAAAAGGTGCTGCGAACAAATCGAAAAGGATCTTCCGCGAACAGAAATTGGTGGCGTTTATCTCAAAAAAGGGGAGCCACTTTTTGCAGCCATTTTTCGAGTTTTAAGAGCATACTGCGCATCTCATGTTGATATGGGTTATTCACAGGGGATGAGTGACATCCTCATAGTCATTGCACAAGTTACAACCGATGAACCAAGAATGTTCTCTTTGTTCGTCAACATCATGTTTTTAGTCGCGCCGATGTGGGAAAAAGATGGTAAAAATAGTGTTGATTCGTTTTCTGAAATTCTCCACTTCTTCGATCCGAAACTGCACGAGTTGATTTCGAAATCGACGACGATTAAATTCAGGTTTGTCGTGCCGTGGATGGTGGTTCTGTTCAAGAGAGACTTTAACAGAGAAGAGATACTCAGAGTGTGGGATGTTTGTTGTTTTTAATATACAATTATAAATAACACCAAGGCGATTGTTGCATACCCGACACACAATTTTCATTTCTTTATTGCCGCCGCAATTGTGATGGTGCAACACGAGAACATATTGAAATACATCGACGACATCGAGTTGACAATGTTCATCAGTTCCATGTCTGAAAAAATACCGGTGTCCATCATATACCGTGCGGACGATTACTACAAAATGTTTATAGATGGCGGGACAAATCACGCACTAAAGCAGGTTTTCCGCACTGACGAGATAGTGAAACGGAATCAGAAGAATGAAAACCCGATATTTGACAGTTCTTTTGAAGGGATAAAGTCGCCTTTAGAAGGACTTGACGATGATAAGTTGAAGAGCCTTTTTCTTAAAATAGGGAACCCGCCTAACATTCAGCAACTGCCTAGCAGTCCCTCAGAGAAGGACATTGAGCGGTGTATGATGGAAACTTTAGAATTTCAAACATGGTGTTTTAAAGCACATTACTTCCTCACGTATTAGAAATTTGATGTCTGTTTTCTGCTTTTGTCTTTATTACAATTTTTATCGCTATTCTGTTCTTTCATTCCACCACATTCATCTCACATTTCTTTTTGTTTGCTTTTGTTCCAAAAACTATAATCTTCTCGCTCAAAAAAATCTTAAGGAAAAACATCTCCACACAAAAGCAAAAATGTAAAAAAATGACAATTATCTGAAACCATCAAGATGTGAGACGAAAAGAAGGAGAGGAATTAAAGATAATTCAAACCAAAAAGCCGCGAGTGAGATCCACCCCCACACAATTTCAAACGGGTCTTTGGTAAGTAATTTTTTAATAAAAATATAAATAAAGATTGGCGGGAAAAAGAATCCAGCACCAAATAGAATGTACGTTTTCTGTGTTGTGTGATCTGGTTCATCTGTGTTATATTTGGAATAATCGTCTAGTTCTAGTGTGGGTTTGGAGTATTTTGTATCGTCTCGTTTGGGTTGAAGTTCGTCGATGTTGTCGGTAGGAAGAGAAGACATCTGAAATTAAGTTTTTATTTGTAGATGTTTCTCTCTGAGATTGTAATCTTCGTTTTTTTGTGTGGAAAGAAACCAATAATAATTAGTAGTTGTTTGTTTATTATATTTTTAAATGGTTTTTTATTTATTAAATGAATAATAAATCATTTTTATCGAAAATTTTTATTTATTTTTTAATTTGTTTTTTTATTTATGTAAAAACATTATTTGGATTTTTTTTCTTTTTTGTCTAGTATGATTTAAAAATTGTTATATGCTCTTTTAATTAAAGTTTGATAGTTTTTTGTTTTATTCATATGATATATTTTTATATTTTTTTTCCAACATCAATTTAGTAAATTAATTAAAAAGAAAATTACAAGAAATAAATGTTATTATTACTTTGTTAACACTTTAAATAACATTAAACATAATTTAAGTGGTCTAAAAATTGGGAAATTTTTATTTTATTAAATAAATTTCCGTTTTTTTAAAGTTTATGATATGTGCATAAATAGTACACAAGCCAAAAATAATAATCATCAAAAATTGAATTACAGATCCCAGAAAAACATACCGGCACAGAAAAACCGACCGGCATAGAATAATTTATAGTATATTGTATTTTTTTTGTTTTTTGTCTTTTTTTTCAAAATTTTTATTGAAAAAACTATTAAATAGTTTTCAGAAACCATTTTTATAGTTTGCCGGACAGTTTTTCTTCGCCGGTCGGTTTTTCTGGGATCTGTAATATCCCTATAAAAACAGGCCAAAACAAAAATAAGGGTGTTATTTCAAATGTTAAGAAAAAAGTTATTTTGAATATTTTTAATTTATTTAGTTATTATACTAAAAAATATTATATCTTTGTATTTAACAATCCAAATATAAACTAGATGATATTAATAAATATATAAAATTGGTCAAAATATTGGTGAAGAATAATAATAATTGGTTTCCAAATTCAAATTTAATATTTTTTTCTTAAAATAAAACTTAATTTTTCACTCATTAATTGAAATAAAAATATTGATAAACATGTTTGAAATTAAAATAAAAATTTTGTAATGAGGAATTAAATAATTTTTGTGACAATTTGTGTTTTTAGTCATTTCCATTTTTATTAATGTCGTTTGTATTTTTATACCTTTCATATTTTATTTATACCATAACGTATAGTATGTGTATCATAATAAACAATATAATCTTGGGTGATTTGTAAAAACGTCACATTTGATCAATATGAGTTTTATTTTATAAACATCACTGTTTCATAGGCTGAAACAATATTATAATTGAAGCAAATGTTTAAATAAGAAAAAAAACATAAATAATTATATAATTATTTTTATTAAAAGAAATAGGTAATTGGATAATAATAAATAATATTTGATTGTTTACAGGTTTTGTTTTTTTTAAATCACAAAAAATATACTTACCATGTTGGTAAATTTTTTATTTGATTGTGAATTGGTATTGTTAAGTTTGGGTATTTTTTAAAAAGTAATGTTTCGATAAACATGTTAAAAACATAAAAATAGCTTGATTTGATTATTTTTAAAAGCAAAATCAATACTTCAAAGGTACACTATGCTTTACTTAGAAAATCTTCATATTCAAACACATTGTATTCATGATACTGTTTGCTCTTTTCATTATTTCTTTTGGTATTAAGTGGTGCAAAGAAGATGGAGAAATAACATGTGTCAATAAAAATGAAGAGTGCTCTACTTTATTTCAATGGAGTATCGAAGGTTCTTTCATTTCACTTGGCGAAGATGACATTAATTTATTAATAAAATGTGCAACAGAAACAGAGCTTGTTGTAGGACTTCCAAACGGAATAAATGTTACATTCAAGTTTGGTACAGTTTCAAAAATGATTAAAGTTGAAGATCTATTACAAAAGAAAAAAACAAACAAAACTTATAATTGTAACATTGCAAATTGCAAATTATGTTCATTTGGAAATTCAAGTAGTTGTATTGTATGCAATGATCGATATTATTACTCAAATACTTCAAAAACTTGTGAACGATGTTCAAACCCCAAGTGTAAACGTTGTGATTCAGATCCATCAATTTGTTCTTCTTATTTGAATGGATATCATGTTGGTGGTACTTTAAAACGAGAAACTTGTAGCGCAAATTGCAAAATATGCAACTCTTATGAAATTTGCACATATTGTTATCCCAATTTTTACTTAGATAATGGAATTTGTTTATTTTGTCAATTTTGTTCGAGTTGTAACAGTTATGATGGATGTACTGAATGTTGGATTAATTATTACAAAGACAATAAAGGTTGTTCACTTTGTGATGTTAATTGTCTTATTTGTCTACAAAATGGATGTACTTCATGTAGTAATACTTATTATGTTGAGGGAAAAAAATGTGGTCCATGCACACCAAATTGTATAAAATGTTCTGGACCTGCATACAATCAATGTGAAAGTTGTGTCGCAAATTACTTCGTAAAAGACGGAACATGTAAGCAGTGTGATTTAAATTGTGTGGATAAAAAGTGTGTTAATAATACTGGATGCACAGAGTGTAAGGAAAAATACTATGTCAATGACAATATGTGTTCACCGTGCCATACATCATGTGCTACATGTTCCGGTTCAAACGAAAACAATTGTTTGACTTGTGCAAGTGGAACATATAGAAATGGTATATATTGTTCCGTTTGCGATACACATTGCACAAACCATTGTGATGTTGTTAATGGCTGTACATTGTGTCCAGATGGGTTTTTTATTGAAAACAAAAGATGTTCTCAATGTAATGGAAATTGTAAAACATGTTCTTCTCAAAGTATAAATTGTCTTTCTTGTAATCAAGAATTCTATCTTCAAAATGCAAAGTGTTTAAAGTGTAGTTCTTTCTGTTCTGTAAACAAATGTGATCCAATCAATGGTTGTACTGAATGTAAAAATGGCTATTATAAAAACAATATGACTTGTTTTGAATGTCACGAAAAATGTCTAACATGTGATAATGGTTCAAGTTCGGGCTGCCTATCATGTACAGACAAAGTAAGTTATTTGGTTGGAAGACAGTGTATTTTATGTGATACAAATTGTGCTCTAAACAAATGTTTAAATACCACCGGATGCACCCAATGCAACCAACACTATTTTGTTAATAACAAAATATGTTCTTTATGTCATGAAACTTGTTTGACATGTTCAAATAATCTTTCAAATGGTTGTTTAACATGCGAAAAAGGAAAATATTTTGATGAGAATCGATGTGTATTATGTGATGAAAATTGTGAAAATAACACATGTGATGCTGTGAATGGATGTCAAAAATGCATTTTTGGGTATTTTCCAGATGAAAAACGTTGTTCTCCATGTGATACAATTCCAAATTGTTTATCTTGTAGCCAAACCAACAAAAATCAGTGCACTTCTTGTAAAGATACATTCATTGTCGTTGACAATTTATGTGAATGCCCAAGCCACCTTTACCAAAACACTTCGAGCACTTGTGATGAATGTTACAAATATTCACCCAATTGTAAATTGTGTCGAAATATAATAAATTTCGGAATAAGATGTGAAGAGTGTTTCCCACCATTTGTAACTGTTAATGGAAATTGTATCAAATGTGGAATTAATACCACTTTTATTGGAAACGAATGTGTGAATAACACCAAAAATTGTGAAATTCAAAACGGACAAAACGAATGCCTAAAATGTCAAAATGAATTTTATTTACAAAATAAAATGTGTAAACCTTTTGAACACAATGAATTGTGCAAAACAAACTCGAAAAACACATGTGAAGATTGCGAGAATGGAATCACAACAACAGGGAACTGCGAGGAGTCAATTTGTAAATATTATCACAAAGATAAAACATCAACAAAATGTATTCAATGTAACAAACATTCTAACGTTAACTTAAATGGAATATGTGAAGAGAACAACAAAGATTATTTGTATGACAACAATGTTATATTTAAATGTAAGGAAAGCCAATATCTTGATAATAACAATTCGTGTCATGAATGTCAAGATGATCAAACAAGCGGTGTCAAATGTAAAATGGTAAATTCAGAAATACATGGACTTCAATGTGGTGGTTTATTTGTTATCAACGTTAAAGAAGATAAGTGTTTTATTAATGATAAATGTGAATCAATCGATGGTAACGATTGTGTAAGTTGCGTTTCAAACAGAGATTCAATTATTGAAAACACTTGCAAAAATTGTGTTGTGGAAAAATGTTCATTTTGTAAAAATGATCAATGTATTGTTTGTGTGGAAGAATATCTTTTAACAACAACTAACGAATGTAAAACAAAAGAATATTTCAGTTGTCAAAAATCGCACTTAAATAAATGTTTGAAGTGTGAAATATCATTCATGCGAGTTGACGAGATTATTGTTAAAGCAGAATATTGTGAAGTAATAGGCAACAACATCAAATACGCAATGAAATCTATTTCTGTTAAGACACCCGTTGCATTTGAATGCAATGAAGGATTTGTTTTAACCAATGGATCTTGCAAAGCAACTAACCAACTTAAACGAGATGAAAATGCAAGCGATGGGTGTAACATTAAAACAACAAAAGGGTGTATTTCCTGTTTTAATGGATATTACAGATCCAATGGTACTTGCCATAAATGTGAAAATGGTTGTACAACATGTTTCAATGCAACTTATTGTTTGTCTTGTCGTCCCATATTGGAGTTCTTGAATAAAGACAACAAATGTGAATTAACAGAAGACTTTTTCCTCAAGTGTAAAAAAGAAATGCCAAACATGGTTGGGTGTGCAATTTGCCAAGAAGGGTATTACAGAAAACAAAGTGATTGTGATGCTTGCCACTATTCGTGTACTGTTTGTAAAGATCTCAATTCCTGTATAACATGTAAACCAGAATTCTTTTTAATACCATCAGAATCGTTGGTGTGTCAAAATTATTCAAGTTTGGTTGGGTGTTTAGAAAAAACACCGTTTGGGTGTAAGAAATGTGATAATGGGTATTACATTGACTCCAATGTCCCTCGTTGCAAAACGTGTATGAACAACTGCTCTTTATGTTTAAACCAATACACATGCAACGAATGTCAAAATGACAATGTTTTTATCAACTCGACTTGTGGTCATTTTTCTCAAATTGAGTTTTGTATTGAAGCGAAAAGAGGGTTGTGTTCAATGTGTGTCGAAGGCAAGAAGCCGAGTGATGATGGTCTTTCTTGTTCAAACAAAGTGAATTTGGGATTGGCCATTGGTCTTCCGGTTGTGTTTGTGATAATAATAGTAATTATAACAGCGTTGTCAATTGTTGGAATATACTTGTTGTATTTACACAACAAAGAGGAGAAGAAAATGTTGAACGTTTGTGTATTTAAAATGAAGCGCTCCAATGTCATATTTGAAAAAGTGAACGACTGGCTTGTGTCTAACAAAGAAAAAATAATATTCATTGATGAAAACAATGCAAATAATGAAATCCCTGTCAACAAAGAAACTCGCGAATTGTTGTGTGTTGGGAACAAATCTAAAAATCCAATGAAAATTCAATTCAGTGTGATGAAAGGGTGTGATTACTACACAATACGCACCGAACCCGCTTTGGTAAATTTGAAGAGTGGAGAAGCGTGTGAATTTGAAATATTTATAACGCCGCTTTGCTCTTGTATCATTAAGGAGAAGATTGTTTGTGTTGGTCTTGATATTAAAAAAGGTGTTGAAATGACAGAAAATATCACAATCAACGCGAAGACACAAATGACAACACGACTTGATTACCACGAGTTAAAAGAAGAGAAAAAGCTTGGAGAGGGTTCATTTGGAATTGTTTATTTGGGTGAGTTCAGAGGACACAAAGTGGCAATCAAGAAATTGCGAGAAGGGTGTAATGACGAAGCGAAAGTTCATGAATTTGAAAAGGAGGTTTCAATGTTGGACAAATTCAGGTGTGAGTATTTAGTTCACTTCTATGGTGCTGTATTTATTCCAAACAGAATTTGTATGGTCACAGAATTCGCTGAATATGGCAGTTTAAATGACTTGATGAAGAAGAAAAGAGAACAATCGCCTCGCATGGCAGTCAAGGTGAAATTCATGTTAGACATGGCAAAGGGAATTAGTTATTTACACAACAATGGCATAGTCCACAGAGACATCAAGCCAGACAATTTACTCGTTTTTTCAATGGACTTGGGAACAACAGTTAATGCAAAAATGACT